ACATGGATGTCAACAGCCATACTGTTGAAACCAGTGACTGAAGCAGGATGGAATAGGGGGCCCTAAGCCAGCAAGACTGGCTTGTTTGGAAGATGACAGGGATAGTCTCCTAGCAGTCTAAGAATGTCTGTGTACCTGGTTCTACATGGCCAGTTTGGTGTAATTGGAATCACTGGTTTCTTCTTTTGCGGATCAGTTAATGCAGAATTCACACTGGAAGAGAGGCATAAATTAACCTGAAACAAGTACAGGGAATACTTAAAGGAGTCAATGCCTGTGTTAGAGGTTTCTTGATTCTGGCCACAAACAGAACAAACTGGTTGAATCTGGAGACCTAGAGATCAGTGCCTGGAACCCCCCCCCCCCCCCCCATCTCTGACATATCAGGTAGAAGGTGTTGGGGTGAAAGGCCTATTCTTCTTGGTCCAGACATTGATGACTGAGGTAATCTGCTGTCCAATTGTCCACTCCTGGAATGAGAACAGCAGGGATCGCTGAACAGTGTTTTCTACCCTTGAGATAATCAAGTTTGATCTTTTCAAGGCTTTATGACTCCTGGTACCTGCCTGGTGATTGATGCAGGACATAGCCGTGGTGTTTTCTGATTGCACTCTGATCAGACTTCCTTGAAGAAGGTGGTGGTGGTGATGGGGGTGGGGGGTGTTCAATGGTGTACAACAATTTCTATCACTATGAGCTCCAAGATGTTGATGGGGAGCTTTCATGGGTGATTGAAACATTCCTCAGCCTGAGAGGCTGGCATGTGTTATCTTCTATTGAAATGGTAGAAACAACTTCCCCATTGTCAAGACTGGGGTGGAAATTCACCCAGCTAGGAAACTCTTTGCTTGGATAGATAAGAGCATGGGAGGTCAGGGGAAGTGTGTTTGCTCCATGCCAACAAGCTGTTATGTTAGAGGGGGCTTGAATGAAACAGCCACCATGAGGCCCAGAACTCTATTTCCATCTCACAGATGGATGCCTTTGACCCGAAGGCGCAAGCACGAGATTTGAGCGCCATTTTGTTTTTTTTGGAAGAAAGTTATTTCCTTAGGCTTTGTATAGAATGAAGCCCAAGTATTTCAGGTGAAGAAAAGATTGCAGAACTATTTCTGGAAGCGATTATCTAATTTTCAAATAGTCTGAAGTGGGATGAGTCTGTCAGAAGAAGGTTGCTTAGGAAAGTTCATCTTTAAAAAAAAATAAATGCACTTTTTTTTGCAGGTAAAAAAATGCATTTACATTTTTTTTTTTGTAATTTTACGCAGCCTGAAAGGCATTGCAGGACTAGTCTAGACTGTTATTGTAATATGTCTGCCTGTACATCTAACAGGCAGTTTTACCTGACAGGAAGAATCAATGAACTACCACAGTGCTCAACAGTGCCATTTTAGTTCATTGAGAACTACAAGCCGATGGTCACAAAGGATGTCACTACTTGTAGTTCATTCAGAACTCTCTGAATGAATGGTGCGGCCATCAAAAAGTGACTGCACTTCGTACTGCTGTCACACCAGGTGTTTAGATCTGCAAGTGGCTGCAGTAACAGGAACATGTTACACCCTAACAACAGGTGGAATATGTAACATGTTCCCCAAAGTGAACTTATCCTTTAAAATAGTTGTAAACCGCTGAAATGAAAGGTGAACAAGGCATATCCTCAGAGTGTATATTTGCCTCAGCTCATAGCACAGATGGCGTGGCCTAGTGGACGTGACCTCGGGACGGTCCTCCCAGCTGTCTGCTGTGAGATCGCAGTGCAGGAGGTTCGTCCCTTGGTTTTTTCCCTCGTTGATGTGTTATTATAGAGGCTGTCATTGCTGGTGTCGGCTAGACACCTTCCCTGTGAGTGTTATACTTCTGATTCCTCGAGCGTCGCCCATGTTATTGGAAGACCGTTTGCTGCTTAGCTGTTCCATATGTGCTGCCTAGCTGTTCCATATGTGCTGATTGGATCACTATTGGTTGCTGTTCCTCTACTGGGATATCCTGCAGATCATCGCTCCCAGAGCAAAATGCTATCATGCTGGTTTATAATTTAATCAGCATATAGCTCTGGTGAGTGTATTCTTTTCATCTGGTGTCGGAATAGTTGATATTGGACTGCACTGATATTGCACTGTTTATGGTGGCTGGACTTATGTTTATATTTATGGATTTTATTTGTTATTTCTATTATTTATCTAATCATCAAACTGCCCAGTCTATTTGTCCAAGAACGGGGAATGTCTTTTTTACACTTTACAGGTCTTAATACCCAAAGAGGCATGGATAAGATGGAGGAGAATCAAGTGTGAAAATGCCAAGGTTTTTGCACACAGCAGAAGCAAGCATATCAGCACTGGCAAGCATATTGAGTGAAGCTGTAACATTAGGCTTATAGGAGCCTGGGGTGAGAAATCTTCTGCAACCTCCTCTAATATTGCCTCTAGGTCCACTTCATTCCCCTCAAGATTTGAAGTCTGGCGCTTTTGAGCACTGAAAAACAATGGCTGTGATAAAGCCTTTCAATGTCTCAGAAATATCATTATAGTTGCAGAAAAGACTACCTTGGTGAGGCCACTTGTTGAGTGCCAGAGATAGAGCTAGAATCAGATGCAGAGACCTGTGTTAATAAAGGGTCCTGCTCCAGTGCAAAGGAAGCATCACTAATCTGAGCTGTTCTGAGTGTTTTACATGCCTTTGGCAGAGCAAATGTTTGCCTGAGCTTTTGTCATGGTTCCCTTGTGCCTGGTTTCTGACAATGTGATCAATGGGGGTACTCACAGAGTAGGGTGCAGAAATGGAATAAGCATGGCCATGAAGGAATATTCAGCAACCCGAGCCTTGAATGTCCTGTAGCAAAGGGGCAATAAGAAGCACCAGAGTACCTTATAAACGGATATAGGTGGAAGTGGTGATAAAACTGTGATGTGTCCTAACACCTGGTCATCCACCTGAGACTAAGCTCCAAGTTTGAGAAGATTACCACTGTGTTAGTTAATACTTTTAAAACACATTCCCGATTTCCTAGAACAAAATACTACTCAGGATACACATAATAGGGCACATTACTAGGGCAGGATGCAGTGCATGAAAAAATGATAGGCAATCTCCACCATGTGGGGTCTGGGTACAGCTTCCAAAGATTTTACTGATGGTGCACCAATCTGGATGTACTGCTTCTTGTTGTATTTGAAGAGTTGATTGAAAAATCCAAAGTAAAAAAAAAAACTACTTCAGCTAAAAGTGATTCCTTCGTAAGGAAGAAGAGGTCCAGCATCTTAGTACACTTGCAAAAAAAACTGAGGACTTAGAGTAGGGTATGGTTACAGGGGGATTGCCCAGGGGACATGTCCTCAAAAGCTTTGCCATGTACAATCACCTGAAAGTAGCAGCCTATAACCCAATGTCTATGAATATTAGGCCTGTGCCCTTTACTGTATGATTAAAGCGGAACTTTACCCAACTTCATAACAAATAATGTTCTTTAGCAGGAAACATACATTCCACATTAATAATTATGCTACCAAAATTAGTGGGTGCTGTAAATTGCCTCCAGAATGGCTCCTGTTTCTTCTTGCCGGAGGCTACCATTTTGTTGAAGCCCAAAGCAGCATTAAACCTTTACTCTGTCAGCAGATTGGCCTCTACAAATTCTGCACAGTGCCTAAAAATAAGGAGCAACTGAGCATGTGCAGAGCATAGTGAAGCAGTGTATTACTGCATTTTAAACCGTATAGGCACTTATTTTTGTTTTACAGTGTTATAGCTGCAAAAGGGGCTAGCCTGAAGTGATCTAGCAGGACCTAATCTTTCTGACTAAAGTTCCACTTTAGGATATGACTTCTGAAATGACATTACCATGTTAAAACATATTTGTAGCTTTAATGCTGGGGTTTGCATCTACTAAATGTACAGCGAGTTTATTTTTGCAGGCTCATATTGTCACTGTGTGAAGAAACTGGACAGTGGTAAAGCAAGGTCTGCACTATAGGTGAGAATTCTTTAAAGTGGTTGTGAAGGCTGAAGGTTTTTTACCTTTAAGCATTCTAAACATGATGTTAAGAAACCTTTTTTGTGCTGCCCACCCCCCACTTACCTAAGCTAGATTTTGATCCAGAAATGTGCATGGGAGCAGTGGCTCTCCAAGCTAAGACATAGCAGTGGGAGCCATTGGCGGGGCAAGAAGCGTAAGTGGGGGACCCAAGTAGAGGAGGATGGGGGCTGCTCTGTGCAAATCCATTGCACAGAGCAGGTAAATATAATATGTTTTTATTTAAAAAAAAAAAACAAACTAAGCTTTTAAGTCCCAAGCACAAATCAAGATGGTGGAAAGAGGAGACTAGCAGCAAAATACATTTCTTCTACTGTGGGACTCCAGTTACTCAGTACAAGTAAAAGGTTAGCAAAAATCTGATTATGACTGGATAATCAATGAAACTCTAGCAGATATCGTCACCATCTATCTTCCCAGGTTAAGCTGCAAATATGACTCTACGCTCACACAATTACCTGAAATGTAGACCTAAACTATACACTCAAGTTATCATCTAAATGTCAAAAGACAACTGAAAAAAACTTTAGGTGGACTTTGATATTTTGTTTGTAGGGCTTTATTTTTTGATTTGTTATACATTATATATTGAACTAGAGGTTTTCATGACAGCGCAACAATTTTTTCAGTTGTCTTTCGATATTTATGTGTGAATATTAGTGAGTGCTGCAGTCAGGATTTTTACTTTCTCACCTTCATTTAATTTGAATAATTTGCCAAGTGCGGGATAAGCACAACATTGTATCATTTAAATGTAAAAGCAAATTGCATGAACTACAAAGGGGGTAATCATAATTCTAGACAAACAATGCTCAGAATCTCAATGCCACTACGGTGCACCTAAAACATGGGAGCTACTATGGATATCAGATTCACCCCAGAGCTCTCCTTAAGAACACAAAAGTAAACATGTAAGCTGTTGTCTTGCATACTATGACTATGGCTTATATCTTGCAAAGCTTACGTGTGGGTGGAGGAGCAGCTGTCTGAAGCTCCCATAAAGGCGTGCTATCTGGCACAGACATAGCTCTTGACAATGCAGGAATAACTGTCTGTTCAGATATTCTATGAGAAATAAGAAAATCATAGCATTAGCTAAAAAAAAAAAAAAATCACTTCTCTTATTAGACCTACAAAACACAGCTGGGAGCTTTACAACATGGTCAGTGTGGACATATTACCTCATCTTTAGAGCCTGGAACTGCTGTAAGAGTAGAGCCAGCTGTTGCTGTTGCTGTGATGAAAGAGCTGCTTTCTGCTGCTGTGCCATCATCTGGGCATATTGCTGTCTGTGTAGACAACAGTAACATTTTTTAAACACTGCCTCACCACCGAAAGAACAAAAAAAATGCAAGAAAAATACAACAGAATGAAACAGAGTTTAAACATGAAAAAAACATGACTTACCTGTAAACTCCACATCTTAGAGTACAGTACAGGATACAGGCATCTAATTCATACATCATGGGTTATTGGCTCATACCTTCAGGTGATTGGACACTGGCAAGATTTTGAGGACACGGACAAGAGCCAGGCACATGTATGGTAGAAAAATGTCCTCACTGAGATGGAATGCTGAAACCACCTTTGGAAGAAAAGATGGTCTAAGGCCAAGTTCACACCTATGCATGTTGCAGTCTGCTGCAAGAAAGTGTCCCTGACCCTATTCAAAAAGCAGCTGAAAATGTGATATTTGTAGATAGATGTGAATGTGTCCCATAGGAAACCATGTTAAATGGACTGTAGTGAGTTTCTGCAAAACACAAAAAGCACTGAAAAAAAGCATAGGTGTGAACCAGGCCTAAGGCATAATGTAACCTTATTGTTGTGAAGTATAAGGAAGGACCTATAGTTCATAAACACATCAGACAGACATGATGCCAAAAGAAAGGCTACTTTGCTTGCAAGAATCTCTAAGGGAATTTTCAGCAAGGAAGAGAAAAAAAGTTAAGGTTCCTAGGAAACATGGGGTGTTGCAAAATGGGCTTGTTTGAAGGAAGACCTCAATGCGAAGCACCAAGTAAAAGGACTGCACCCACAGCAGATAAAATAAGATTTCCAGGTACAATAATCCTGAAAGTAGCTTTTCTTACTTTGAGCAAGGTAAGAATCATGGAATCAGAAACCTATATCCTTAGGACCTGGGTTTTAATAGTCATGCCATTAAAGCTAGAGATTGTGAAGCAGGATGGAATAGATGGTCATGAAACAGATCTGACCTGTTGGGAAGAGGCCAGGGGTCATCTGCAAGAAGTCTGAGTATTTCTTCTGGGTCAGTTTTGTGCCTGAAAAACTTCCTTGTTCCATTTCGTGGAGTAGATGAGGGAGAATGCTCCGTTGAGGGCAGGAACAGGTTAGCCTGAACTGAGATCAAGTGATAAACTAGGGTATCTGAGGCAGAGCTAAAAGATCCCTGGTTCTAGATACAGAGGTAGTCTGTTGTACTTGGAGGCTGGGATGTCCACATCCAGAGTATAACATTTTAGGCATATCAGATCGAACCCATCTAGATGAAGATACCATTTTCCTTGCTCCAAGCGGGGGCAGCTGAGATAACCAACCTGCAGTTGTCCACTGCTGGGATGTGGACTGCTGAAATCGCCGGACAGCGAGTTTCTATCCATGAGAGGAGCTTGTCTGCTCCAGTCAGGCTTCTTTCACATGTTCCCTTGATGGTAGATATACTCTGTGGTGCTTGCCACTGTGGTGGCACTGTCTGAATGTACCTGTATTGGGTGCCCCTTCAGAAGAGGGATCAGGAGTTTAAGGGACAGCCTGACAGTTCAGAGTTCCAAGATGTTGATGGGGAGTTTGATTTCTTTTGACCATGTCCTCTGAACTGTCCAGGATTCGAAGACTCCTCCTCAATCAGACTTCCATCTGTTGTACGAACCTTCCACTTGTAGGTAAGGATCTTTCTACTGCTGAGATGAAGTGGTCATCCAGCAAGACAAGGAATGTCTTGTTTGAGGGGGAAAGGAGCATAGGTAGATCCAGGGAAAGAGCTTGCTTTTTCCATGAAGACAGGTTGTTTAGCTGGGAAAGTTCTCGAGTAGAATGTGCAAAAAGGTACTGCATTGAAAGAGGCCACCAATAAACCAGTCCGACATACAGAAACAGCAGAAAGAGCTGGCTGCAGGGCATGGCCTGCCAGGTATTTAAAAAAAGCAAACAAAAAACCCCACAACCTTCAAAAGAGTTTTTTTCCGCTCTGCATGGCATTCCGCAAAGGTTTTGGAGGGGGAGAGTAGAATTCCTTTCAGGAGTGACCCAACGGTTACAAGTCATCCATTCTATGAACAGGGGATGTTTTAAAGAGCGTTCCATACATAGGTCATTTTGTTTTGTTCAACAAGAGAGTTGAACAAAAAAAAAAAAAAAAACATACAAAAAAAAAAACCCCAATTCCCCCCATCCACACATTGGAATCACTACCGCTGAGCCTATGTGTTCTGACAGCAGGGAAAGGCTATAGCCGGCAGAGCTGATCATGTGGAAATTTTCCAACAGGCTAGTTTTACAGAAGTTGATTAGTAGACTGACTTCTGTACAACGAGCCTGCCCACTCAAGGATCAAATTTTGATCCGTGTATGGCCAGCATTCGTCTTTGTAGGTCTCTTTGCATCCAAAGGGGCTTTTGAAGACAGAGACAATGAGCTTTTCAATGTTAGCAAGTATGTGGAGTTGAGGTTCCCTCTTACCAATATATTGACAGTCGGGGGGGACAGAACTCTTTTATAGCTTCAATCAACATTACCTCAACATACTTTTCACCTCTTTTTCATTCAGCGTCCTCTAGGACCGGTATATGAGGGTCTGATTCCGGTTAAGAAACAGGAGTGGGAGAAGAGGAATGGCGTTTTTAAGCTTTGGATACATATGGTGAATTAAGGCCATAATCACTTCAAGGAACTCTGACAAATGCAGAAAAGTCTGCTTTTGTCAAGTAGGCCACTTGTCTCCCTGAAAGATCTTGAAGTGGATGCTGAGACTGGCGTTAAGGCCGGTTCCTGATCTGTGCAATGGATACTTCGTCACTCAGGCTAGAGTGAATCTTTGCCTTCTGTTTGTAGTTGGCTCCCTTTTGCCTGGTCATTTCCCAGTGCAGTAATTGGGGAGTAGAATTTGGGAGATAGTGCAAGCATGTCCAGAAGGAGTACATGGCAACCAAGGTGTAGACTGTCCTGCAACGAAACTTTGTGGCAAAAGGGCAGATGGATGCTTCTGAGTACCTTATAAGGTCTCTAGATGGGAGTGGCATTAAAGGGTGCGATCAGTGGTGTGATGTAACACCTGATCATCCAACTGAAACTGAGCTTTGAGTGGTTGAATTTTAGTGTCAAGGTTCAAAAGTTCACAAGTAACGTCCAGAAATACTGGGTAACCCTGCCTTATCTGTTTACAATGCTTCGCCCTTCAGAGTGAGTATACCCTCAAGAGGGTCTTCAGCAACTGGGTTCTATAGCAATGAACCATGGCCCTGTAAAGTACCCTGTGGCTAACTTGAGTCAAGCACCAAGGTGAGTGCCCCACACAGGACCAAAGCAACATTACAGGTCATCCCCAAAGCATGGAGCCCGAGTATGGCCACCAAGGTTTTCCTGAGGTTGTACTTATCTGGATACACTACTTCTGTGTGGGCAACAGAAGGCAGTGAAGTTGATTATCAATTTAAGAAAATAATAAACTGGTGAAGGAGAAGAGGTCCATCACCTACAGCAGTGTTTCTCAAACTATTTTCAGTCCAGACACCCTTTAAAATTATGGACAATTTCAAGGCACCCTTTAAAATTATGGACAGTCCCGAAGCGCCCTTTAAAATAATGGACTTTCTTGAGGCACCCCATTCTAATAGTTTTATATAACGCAGAAACATCCATACATGGACACCCAACACTAGAGGTGATCTATTTTCCCCAGTCAAACACACTTTTGTACACTGGTCCTAACTAGTAATACAGTGTTTCAGTTTTTCTCCATCACTGAGCTAATGTGACCGCAGCACTGACAGAAGGGGGGGCAGGGAAGGGTCTAACAAGGATGCTGTGCAGGCAACTGACACCCTCCTTATCAACTGATGTCATTGGCCGGTGGATAGAAGGTCGTAATGGCGCACAAAAAAAAAAAAAAAAAACTGTGGCTTTGAGTAACTAAAAGTTGGGTTTCTTCCACCCACTGGCTTGTATACAAGTTTTGTGCAACTTTTAGAAATTTTGTCAAGGCACCCTGGTTGAGAAAGGCTGACCTACAGACACTAACGAAAAACAGATTACCAGTTATACAGAAAGCTCTTGAGGCGGGTGTGGCCTCAAAAGCTTTCCAGTTTACAATCCCCTGAAGGTATGAGCCTATAACCCATGCTGAATGAATAAGAGGCCTGTGTCATGCACAATTGAGATAAATTGCAGAGTTGTCTTAAGGTTTTATACTGGTCATCAATAGCAGCTACCCAGATTCAGCAAAATAAACTCATAGTTCAACTCAACATGCATACAGGCCGAGATTTTTAGTGATTCACATATTCCTTTAATATCTGTTAAGGAAATGCTGATACTGTGTAACATCATACAAAGCTGGACAGCCCTGGTTCAGACTAAGCTTTAAGCAAGGTAGTACTTTCAATATAACCATTTTTCTTTTCTGAATTGCACTGTATTGCTCTCTCTCTTCTCATTTCTGTGTATGTTTAGCAAGCCCCATAAGACCAATCTCTATGACATATGAGAATAAGTATAGACAAATATCAAATAGTGTTATAAGCATTAGAAGAATGCACTACTCAGCATATTCCAATGCATTATTGCTAGGACAAGAAACAAACCAGAAAACTAATGGTGTATTGTATACAGTTTGCATTTCTATGTTTAAACAGAAGTTCATATAGGGATGAAATTTTCACTTCAAAAATTTCTGTAATTTTTACCGTAAAAGTCCACTAAGTGGCACAGGAAGTCTAAAACTTGCCTAAACGAGATCTGCACACTGGCACAGAACAAAAAAAAAAAAAAAACTATATGTCAACCCAAGATAACGCTTCAACTATTAGCATGTCTCAATTTAACTTAACAAAGCAACATCATGATCCTGTGGAAAATACACTTGGGCCAGGGCTAGACTCAGATACATCAAACACCAAACCTATTCCAACAAAAATTTCTGATATTTTAGAACCCATCAAATTCTTTTATGCCTCCCTCCTTCTGGATTGGGAACAGTGAAAAGCCCTGGAAACGCTCTACCACAGCACTGGGGCCTGATCCAAAAGAACTGCTAATCTCGGCAGTGACACTGAAAGGTTAGAGGTAGGAATCTGAGGAGAGGACAGGTAGCGGAATTCCAGTTTGTAGCCCTGCAATACCACTTTCTACACCCAAGCTTCTGATTTGCAAGTTGTCCAAGCATCCACAAAGTTTAACCAACTCTTCAATCTCTTCATGAAGATGAAGGATTGTCGGAGAATCCTGCAGCCTGACAAACCTGAGTGGAAGACTGAGAGCAGAGTTTGAGAGGGGGGGGGGGTTTTACTTGGGTATCTAGGGACTGGAAAAACAAAAAGGTAAGGGAGGGAGAATATTTTGCAGTCTGTTCCAAGGTCTTGATCTGAAGAGATGCTGTCCCTTAAAGGCCTTGCAGATCAAACTTTATTTCACACAGGGGTTCTGCAGTGCAGAACTTTGCCAAAATGTGCTATGCAAATTAACTGATGAGAGAAATGAGAGGCTTCTAGCAACCCATAACAGGTGAAAATTAATGCTACAGTCTTCTGCTCAATATGGCCTGTAAACAAGGGTTCAAATCTTGGCTAATTTTGACAGTCACGGTTTGACAATGTAAGGTCACAGCCCGAATTGGGTGAACGGCACGGTCTGCCAGCAGGACCAGAGATTTAGAGGAGGCGTGGCGGGAGGGGGGTTTGGAAAGCGTTTTACCGCGTCAAAGCTTCAAACAGCTGATCAGTTGGGTGCCTAACAGAACATGTCTGTCTCCTGGAATAATAAATTTGTCCAAAACAGCCTGTTAAGGCAGGACACTGTCAGATGCCCAATAATAAATGTGGGAATAGACCCCACTGGGGTCACAGATGCAAGTCTAAAAAGCAGTTAGGGGGTAGCAAACAGCTTGTCAGAATGTTTCCAGCCTCCACAGAGAAATAATGGGTGCTAGAGGAAAAATATTTGTGGCTCTAAGTTTTACATGACCCAAGGCTGGAAACAGCCCTGGGGGCAGCAATAGGCTGATCTTCTAGCTTCAGAGTGGTGCACAATTTAATTTGAGAGTAACAATAGTGGAGTGCGACCCTTCAGGTTAAATCTTATTAGTCAAGGACAAGAATGACTGAGAATCATATTGTTTCTGGATCCGATGGTACAGAAGCCACTAAGGCAACAGGCAAATCAGACAAATTCTGCAGAAGAGGGCCAGGAGCATGCTTGTGGTCTCTATGAGTCAGTAAATTGGGTCATAAAATCTTGCTTGATTGTGGTAAAAATCTCAGCTAAGGTGGGAGGGGGCCCAGCCAAATCTGAATGAGTCAAGGAGTATTCTGAGGAATGAATAGACTTCTAAAAAAAAAAAAAACATGATTCCAGGCTTCAAATATTGGCACTGTTAGAAGGCACACTGCAAACAGCCCTAGAACCATTAGTAGTATGTGACCTGAGGGCACACGCTTCCAGTTTTTGCTGCACAGTCTGTTAAATGAAGTTGAAAAATAGCACTTAATAGTTAAAAGGCTACGCAGAAAAGCACACAGTTTTGTTAATGCTAGTAATAGACTACATCACATGTCATTTTTGATTATGACTTGATTATGAGTTGAGGGGTTTATCATCTGGCAAAGGTGTTCTTCTGCTGTGCCTAATCTGAATATCTACAGAGTGGTTTGGTGGTAAATTCAGAGAAATCCCAAGGAGGTGTTTGAAACCCCGTGAAGAGGAAAGCGAATTTTGATTCTTTCAAAGATGTAGGTCACCATTACCAAGCGAGAGAGCAGAGTGAAGGGTGATGGAGCAAACGTGAGATGCACTGCATAAAAACAAGTCACGAGTACGTGTGAAGAATTATTTACATAGTAAAAAAAAAAAAAAAGGATACTAATATTTTTTGTGGTGCTTACGCATTAATACTAATAATTGCAGTGGACTACAATAAATTTTTACACTGAGGTTTTTCCTTTAATTGAATATCATATATTTGATTGTAAATGTATTTAGGTTGATTGATGGAGTAGTGGTATTTCTAGAATTAATTTTCTGATTAAACAAATAATTGTCTGGAAACGAGGCTTGGGTATAGAAGGAAGAGGAATTGTTAGTACAAAGCTTCGGATGGGTGTTCGCTAAATGATTTCCAGGACTCCAGTTGGATAACGGTTGCAGAGCAGTCGCAGAGCAGTCTCAGATCCAGAGGAGGGAGTCTCTTCCTATGCTGTCTGTCTGGTCCATTTAAAGGGGGCTTCCTGCAGATCGTTGGTCAATATATGATTCAACACATTGCGCTTTTACAATGCGCATCTGGGGAGTGAACATTTTTATCAATTCCCTGCACGGACAAAAGTCACATGGAATAATCTGATATCACCTGTGCAATAGTATTCGTGTGCAGCACAATTTTCTGACCAGTGTTTGTCAGATCCTCACCATCATATGAACTTTTTTGTTTTAGGACTTTCACAGCCACACTTGTTTAATTGCGCTCATTGCAGCTCTTCATTCACTTCTGTGTTATCACTTGTATTTAATATCTTCATATCAATAATAATTTAAGTATTGCACTTTTATGTAATATTAATTTTTTCAGCACTGCATCAATTTTTGTTTTTATACAAATAATACTATTTATTATTTTTTGATTATTACATGGTTGCGCTGCGCTTTTAGAACATATTTAATTTGGTTCGGTGTGGGAAATAGTCAGTCAGTGTTGGTGGCAATTGGAGGGTATATACACTTCTGTTTTGATAATAGTGAAAGGTATTGATTGCGCAGAGGGTTACCCTGGTCATTACCTGTTGTGGGTAATCAAGGTTGTGAGTTGAGAAACACTGATTTACATCTTTAGCAGTTACCAAGAGTATTTGGTTTGCCTAATCAAGCACTATAATGCAGACATAGTGGCAATACTATGGGTAAAGTGTATGCAATAAATCTATAATGCATACCTACATTGTACCTTCAACAGCTTTATAATAAACTCACTGTATTAGAAACTGCTGGTAGTGCAGCTGTTGTATCTGGTACAGGGCTGTCATCTCTTGGTGGCGGCCAATATGCTCAGGACCCAATTCTCCCTGTAAAATGAAAAACAATGTACGGGTAAAGACACAAACTCTGTTCGCACACAATAAAGTTTGTTACGGCAAAATAGAAAAAAAAAAATACCATGCAACACATTTCTGGAATTCACTCATATGCCCAAATGTTTTAGCCCTTTAAAGAACCTACAAATACAGAGGAAAAACCCGATCATCTGTTAAAAAATACACTCAACACCTATGTTCTGTTGCGGGCTGACAACAGCATTTTTGTGGATTGAATGGTGTAAGCCTTGCCCAATTTTCTAAACTCGAATCAACTCACTCTTTCATCTCTACAATAGGATTTTTATTGCTCAATGTAAAAACCTTTTCTTGGAATCCACTGAGGGACATAGGAAGATTAACGTTTGTATTATACTGTCACCTACAGGAGGACAGGATACTGGCAAAAAAAAAAAAAAAATATGTAAGCCAGCCTAGGATAATCCATCCTACTACCAGCATGCCTCGGTTTTGTAGCAAGCAGTATTAGGAGAATGGTTAAACAACCAAATAGAGTGGTTGGGACCACATAGCATAACCCCCACTACACCCAGAATGCCTCAGTTTTGCAGAAAGCAACAGGAGTGGACAGGGCTTGCGGGTTGGACTTGTGTCAGCTTATGAACAATGATTCTATGGTGAGGGTAAAAATCCTGTTTTCTTAATTGTTCATTAGTGGAGACCAAACTCCATGTGATGTTCAGGAGCAGGCTAGCACAATATCTTGGTTAAGGTGAACGGATAAAACCACCTTCGGTAAAAGAAGGCCTTAGGTCCTAATACAACCTTGTCTTTGTGTGACAAGAAAGGGCTGTTTGCAGGTTAAGGCAGCGGATTCAGAAAGGTTAGTTTGCAAGTAAGCACAGACAACGGAATGTCTTTGATAGATTCCAAAGGAGACTTCTGAAAAGCTGACAGAACCAGGCTGAGATGACAGAGGCACAGAAGTACAAACAAGAGGACCACATGAGTAACACCCTGAATAAAAGGTCTTCAGGCACGTGGTCTTTGAAAAAATACCCAGAGCTGATATTTGACCCTGCATAACGCATATTGCCAGGTGTGGATCCACCTGGCAAAGGCAGGGTGTGCCCCACAGAGAGCTACCTGGGATGAAATTTCCTAGCTTTAACTATGTGAAATTTGCTTTTCGGGTAAGATGTTAGACCTTGTGAGAGATAACAGAATCCAGAGGGCCCAAATCTTTAAGGACCTGGTGTAAAACTGTTAGGCCATTAAAGCCAATGACTGCAAAGCAAGTTGATAAACAGGTCCTTGGGCCCAGAGATTCAGAAGATAAGGAAGTGTCCATGGAGTCTGCCAGGAGTATCACATATGCCTGAGCCAGTCCTATGGATAACAAAATTACCAGTACGCCCACAATCTTTTTCCTGTTAAGCAGGTGAGGAAGGGGTTGAAGAGGAGGGAAGCGATGAACTCATCTAGTGCAAAGGCCAGGGTATGCCTGGGGACAAACTTGGGTACTTTGTGGTCAATCTAGCAGTCCAGACATTGTTGACTAAGATAGTCTGGTGTAAATTTTTCCACACCTGGAATGTGCATGGCACACTGGAATGTGAATACCCACTCAAACTAACAGCTTGCTTGGTTTCACTGAGAGCTGAAACTTCTGGTTCCTCCTTAATGAAGGATGTAAGCCACAGTCATGGTGTTGTCCGACTAAAACAAGATCAGATGAGTTTGCAATCAAGAGGTTCAGCACTGAAGGGACAAATAAATTGCCTGTAGCTCAAGAATGTTGACTGAGAGACGAACGTCTGCCAGCAATTAACTCCCTTGCACCAAAAGGAACTTTGATAGGCAACCAAGTGCCATGCACAGGGAGGGTGTCCAAGACCCCGAAGCCCATCAGATGGAACCTTCAAAAGGCAAGGCGGAAGGATTACCTCAACTCTAGAATAAGCCACACCAGAGACCAGAGCCAATCAGGTATCCAGCAATAGGGGAATGTGATGATCAAGATAATGAGCTTATGTAACTCATACAGACAGGACGTTGAGTTGAGAAGGGAAAGTACAGTTAATAAGGTCTTTACAAACATTCTAGAAGCAGAGTATAGTCCAAAGCGCAGTGCAACATACTAAGTGGTTGTCTGCCAATGCAAATTGCGGAAAGCGGTGATGATGTGTGTCAATGGGAACACGCAGGTAAGCATCTTGGATGTCCATGGATGCTATGTACAGTATCTCCCAGAAGTGAGTACACCACTCACATTTTTGTAAATATTTTATTATATCTTTTTAATGTGACAACACTGAAGAAATGACACTTTTCTACAATGTAAAGTAGTGAGTGTACAGCTTGTATAACAGTGTAAATTTGCTGTCCCTTCAAAATAACTCAACACACAGCCATTAATGTCTAAACCGCTGGCAACAAAAGTGAGTACACCCCTAAGTGAAAATGTCCAAATTCGGCCCAATTAGCCATTTTCCCTTCCTGGTGGCATGTGACTCATTAGTGTTACAAGGTCTCAGGTGTGAATGGGGAGCAGGTGTGTTAATTTTGGTGTTATCGCTCTCCTTCTCTCATACTGGTCACTGGAAGTTCAACATGGCACCTCATGGCAAAGAACGCTCTGAGGATCTGAAAAAAGAATTGTTGCTCTACATAAAGATGGCCTAGGTTATAACAAGATTGCAAAGACCCTGAAACTGAGCTGCAGCATGGTGGCCAAGACCATACAGTGGTTTAACAGGACAGATTCCACTCAGAACAGGCCTCGCCATGGTCGACTAAAGAAGTTGAGTGTACATGCTCAGCGTCATATTCAGAGGTTGTCTTTGGGAAAGAGACGTATGAGTACTGCCAGCACTGCAGCAGAGGTTGAAGGGGTGGGGGGTCATCCTGTCAGTGCCCAGAAAATATGCCGCCCACTGCATCAAATTGTTCTGCATGGCTGTTGTCCCAGAAGGAAGCCTCTTCTAAAGATGATACACAAGAAAGCCCGCAAACAGTTTGCTGAAGACAAGCAGACTGAGGACATGGATTACTGGAACCAAGATAAACTTATTTGGTTCAGATGGTGTCAAGCGTGTGTGGCAGCAACCAGGTGAGGAGTACAAGGACAAGTGTGTTTTTGCCTACAGTCTAGTATGGTGGTGGGAGTGTCATGGTCTGGGGCTGCATGAGTGCTGCCGGCACTAGGGAGCTACAGTTCATAGCGGAACCATGAATGCCAACATGTACTGTGACATACTGAGGCAGAGCATGATCCCCAGGGCAGTATTCCAACATGATAAAAACCCCCAAACACACCTCCAAAACGACCACTGCCTTTCAAAAGAAGCTGAATGTAAAGGTGATGGACTGGCCAAGCATGTCTCTAGACCTAAACCCTATTGAGACTTCTGTGGGGCATCCTCAAATGGAAGGTGGAGCAGCGCAAGATCTCTAACATCCACCAGCTCCATGATGTTGTCATGGAGGAATGGAATAGGGACTCCAGTGGCAATCTGTGAAGCTCTGGTGAACTCCATGCCCAAGAGGGTTAAGGCAGTGCTGGAAAATGATGGTGGCCACACAAAATATTGACACTTTGGGCCCAATTTGGACATTTTCACTTAGGGGTGTACTCACTTTTGTTGCCAGCGGTTTAGACAATAATGGCTGTGTGTCGAGTTATTTTGCGGGGACAGCAAATTTACACTTTACAATTTATTGTTAAAACAAGCTGTACACTCACTACTTTGCATTGTAGCAAAGTGTCATTTCTTCAGTGTTGTCACATGAAAAGATATAATAAAATATTTACAAACATGTGAGGGGTGTACTCACTTCTGTGAGATACTGTACTTCCCTTGTCTTAGAGAAGTGATTAAAGACCTTGCAAATTCTATGCTAAATTTGGGAACTTGAAGGAATTTGTTGAGAGATTTTGAGCCCAGAATATGACCAATACCTCTTTTGACCTTTGGTACTGTGTACGATTTAGAGTAGAATACTGAGAAACTGTCTTGAGATGATACTGCCATGACAACTCCCTGGAACAAGAGGTGGTCCAAAGCATTCAGCAAATCTGATTGTCCCTGGACATTTTTTGGTTTATTTGAAAGAAGAAATTAGTGAGGTGGTAGAGCTTTGAACTGTATTTTTTATTTCAATATGCTTATAAATTTTCCATAAATAACAGTTACAAAAACATAAGAACTTCAAATCTCCCCAAACAGAGGGTAACAGGTAAATATTATCAGGTAGTAATGCACACATTATAGAGCAACGTATCCACAATAGTAATGACCAGATATTACAGAAAAAGAACCAATCAAATATAAAGATTATGACGAAATGACATCCGTAGTGCAACTGACCAGCAACCGAATGCTAGATGTGGTGCAATACTCGTCAGGTAGGATGATGAACAAAACATTTATGCGATAAAGTATATAGAGTAATGTCAACCACCCTGCATACCCTTGTACAGTGAACCATTGAGAATGTAGAAATCAAGGAGCAAACAGCTCCAGACCTGAGCAAACAGAAAAAAGGAAGAAGTTGGAAAGGAGAAGAACAAAAGCAGTTGGGGTATCTTCACCCCCCCCCCCCCCCCGTCCCAGTCATCCACCAAGAGGTATTGTATCCACAGCAGGTTTTATCGAACTTAGCTTGATTAACATGGAGAGTACATGTTAGCTTATTAATGATGATGGTCCAGTTTAATTTTCGTGTGTGAGATAGTCAAGTTTGACTATTGGTTGGTTCAAACGCTGCACAATGGCAGTGTTTGAACCAAGATACTATTCTTGCTGCAAGTATCATATAGGAAATTAATCTTTTCCTCATTTTAGGAATATCATCGCCTATTTTTTGAAAGAGGGCACTCTCTGGCTTTTCTAGAGATATTTTGGCCTGTAACCAAATGAATGAGGTTGAATGTCCTAAACCAAAACTGTGTCACCAATCACAGCTCTCACAGAGCTTACGTGGCCACATTTCCGAAAAGTAGTAGCATTTTATAGTTAGATTCAACCAAAGCTGTGTTTACGGATATTGATGACAAATTATTCACAATATCCTGCCAGTCAGTCACAGGGACACAGGATGTTAAGATCGCTTTTCCAATGTTCCATATAGGAGAGCTTATTGTCTGATGTTGATAAGCGATTATATACACTCCTCAGCTACTTGATTAGGTACACTTTGCTAGTACCAGGTTGCACACCCTTTTGCCTTCAGAAACCGCTTTAATTCTTTATGGCCTAGATTCAACAAAATGTTGGAAACATTTAACAGAGATTTTGGTCCATATTGACATGAGTTACTGTTGCCTTTCTATCATCTTGAACCAGTCTTCCCATTCTCCTCTGCCCCCCCCCCTGACATCAACATGGCATTTTCTTTCACACAAATGCTGCTCACTGTATATTTTCTCTTTTTTCGGACCATTCTCTGTAAACCCTAGAGATGGTTGTGCATGAAAATCCCAGGAGATCAGCAGCTCTTAAAATACTCAGACAAGCCCGTCAGGCACCAACAACCATACCACGTTCAAAGTCACTTAAATCCCCTTTCTTCCCCATTCTGATGCTCGGTTTGAACCACTGCAAGTCATCTTCACCACGTCTAGATGTCTAAATGCATTAAGTTGCTGCCATGTGATTGACTGCTTAGCAATTTGTGTTACCAAGAAATTGAACAGATGTACCTAATAAAGTGGTTGGTGAGTGTAGTATGGAAATGTGGCCCTTTATCTGGTTACTAGTTTTGCAGGAGCTCTCAAACCAGGTTAAGGAGGAGGAAGAAGTAGCATCTTTAAATTTGACTTTTTTCCCGTCCGGCCCATGTACATAAACGGCAGAACGGGAGCAGTGCCGCAATCTGGTGCCCGCTGTATCCTTTGGACAAAGAGGAACACCAATCGCTGTACGGGACCCCTGTGTAAGGTCCTGATCATGTGATCACTGATAGGCCAATCAGTGATCACATGAATAGTAGTAAACAAGATGTCACTTGCTGACATCATTTCTTACTACTTGTGAAATCTGAGATCACAGAGGGCACATGGTAAAAGGCTATTTCACGACAGCCTTGTACCAGGTGACAAGCTGCGACGAATCACAGCTCTCACAGTATTTCTAAATGGCTGAAGAATGCAGCCAGAGACCAGGAGAAATGATTGCTTTTACAGCCTTTATGGGTGTAAAAGCAATCAGTGTAAAAACTATGGTGACACTGTACTGCTAGGGTGACGGTATGTAAAAAACATAAAACAAATCATATAAAAAAATTTAAAAAAAAAAATTTTTAAAAAATAATTTTTGGTTATAAACTATTTTATAGGACTTTTATAAGAAAAAAACACTTTTTTTTTTCAAAATGTTTGGACTTTTTCATTTATAGCAAAAAATAAAAATCCCACTGGTGAATAAATACCAAAATAAAGTTTTATCTATCTAAAAAAAAAAATGCTAAAAATTCATATGGGTACAGTGCTGCATGACCGCGCAATTGTTATTCAAAGTGTGATAGTGCTGAAAGCTGAAAATTGGCCTGGACAGGAAGGGGGTAAAAGTGTCCGGACTTGAAGTGGTTAATAAAGGATATAAGCTGATTGTAGCGAAAGAGTTCTGATGATGATAGATGTAATTTGGATTTGGAAAAGAGGAGTCTGAACTGTATTTTAAACCTTCTTGAAACCACAGGTCTCAGATGTGTGTGACCCAGAGAAAAGCATGCTGTAACAGACGTCCACCATTCTTAGCACAGAGCGTCCCTTCATTGTGAACTTGGCTGTGGGGGAAGGCATTTTTAGGCAAAGTCTTACACCAAGAGAAAGGGCTGAACTTAGCATCAAGGTGAAGCCTGCACATTTAAATAGAGAAATTTGTCTCATGACATGCTCTAGGGCAGTGATGGCGAACCTTTTTGAGCCCGAGTGCCCAAACTGCAACCCAAAACCAACTTATTTCTTTCGAAGTGCCAACACTGCAATGAAACCTGAATATCGAGCTTTTGGGTTAGAAAAAACAACTCGTACAGTAGTGCAAACTAATTAACAGTACAGGGATGACCAGAGACTGCGGACACGGTACAGGAGATGACCAGAGACTGCGGACACGGTACAGGGATGACCAGAGACTGCGGACACGGTACAGGGATGACCAGAGACTGCGGACACGGTACAGGGATGACCAGAGACTGCGGACACAGTACAGGGATGACCAGAGACTGCGGACACAGTACAGGGATGACCAGAGACTGCGGACTGCGGACACAGTACAGGGATGACCAGAGACTGCGGACACAGTACAGGGGATGACCAGGACTGCGGATGGACCAGAGACTGCGGACACAGTACAGGGGATGACCAGAGACTGCGGACACAGTACAGGGATGACCAGAGACTGCGGACACAGTACAGGGATGACCAGAGACTGCGGACACAGTACAGGGATGACCAGAGACTGCGGACACGGTACAGGGATGACCAGAGACTGCGGACAAGGTACAGGGATGACCAGAGACTGCGGACAAGGTACAGGGATGACCAGAGACTGCGGACAGTACAGGGATGACCAGAGACTGCGGACAGTACAGGAGATGACCAGAGACTGCGGAAAGCACAGGGATGACCAGAGACTGCGGACAGTACAGATGACTGCTGACCTTTGGGGAGGGAGGGGGAGCGGGTACCTGAATTTGACAGGTACCCGCTCTTACTTCCGCAGAGTTTTTTTTTTTTTTATCTTACCTGTTCCTTTATCCAGCCGCACGCTGTCTTCCGGCTTCTGTAGTGTGGGCGCTCGTCGGACAGCCGGATGCCCAGTGCGCATGCGCGAGAAGCGCTGCGCTTTGTGATTGGTCCCTGGCGGCTTCTGGGATCTGTCATGTGTCCCAGGTACCGCCTTACCACTCACAAAGAGCACTGCTTCTTGCGCATGCGCACTTGGGACCCGGCTGTCACGCACACTACAGAAGCCGGGAAGACAGCGCGCCGCTGGATAGAGGGACAGGTACGGTCCCACTGCAGAGCTGAGCGGCCGGCCCGGTATTCTGACACGACGGCGGTGGAAATACCGGACCGGCCGCTCTATATTCGCTCCATAAGACGCACTGACATTTTCCCCCCTTTTTTGGGGGAAAAAAAGTGCGTCTTATGGAGCGAAAAATACGGTATTCTCCTGGCGTGCCCACAGATAAGGCTCGGCGTGCGGCTGTGGCACGCGTGCCACGGGTTCGCCATCACTGTTCTAGGGCATCCACACAGAAGAAAAGCAGATTGCTGTAATTGTTCTGTAAAAGCACGATTCTAAAATATAGGGTCATGCAGGTTTTTCATGGTCTTAGCCCAGTTTGCTGCTGTCAGACATACAAAAATTGCAGCAACAACTCACTACAGGGCTGGGCAAAGTTTACAGTTTGTTTGGAAACCATAAAGCATAGTAAACATTTACAACTATAGGGTTTAGAGTTTTAAAGAGGCATGGTTTTTTTTTAATAATTAATGGCAGGATGGGATGGACATGTCTTTTTTCAACTTGATTATATAACATTTTGTAACTTCTAAATCCTGCACATAACAGACAGCATACTAACACAAAAAGGTAAATAAACGTTCACTTACTAGTCTGGGTGTTGGAGGTGTGATGAAAGGAACTCTGCCCCATAATTTAATAATGTCACCGAGTGGCTGGAAAGTTTCATCACATACTCTCCGTAACAACAAAGTCATAGGAAAGTATCCAGCTTGATACCATTCGGCCATCTCCCGATTACTAAAGGGACCTATAAAATACAAAATTGAGGAAGACTGGAACAAGACATGAGCAGAAGAGTAGAAATTGAAAAAAAAACATAAAACAGCAAAAAGGGTCTGAAGGCAATAAGGCAAGACATACCCTGAATCTCTCCCTGTGGATCTTTGTAGTACCACTTCTGTTGGTTATCTGGAGATGGTCCTTTCACTCTGTGATCTGGCACTTTCCCTGTTAATCTGTCATCATCAAGCGCCCCGTCCTGCAGGTACGCCACCATCTGTTGTGCTTGCTGTACCATACAAATTACTTATTAGTAACCCACTTAAATGACTGTTTGGAAGTAAACAAGTCCTATTTTAGCTTTACAAACAGGAACCTACAACCCAAAATATCTCTGCATTTCAGATTAAAAATGAATAGAAGAATTTAAACATGAGGGGTTATGAAGGTTTCTGCTAGGTTAATTCAAGAAATGTATGTTTAAAACCATTAATCTTGCAGTGTTGTACCTGTTCTAGATGTTCTAGTCCATCCTCTTCATCAGGTTCAGAAAGAAGACCACCCATGCCAGGTGCAGCATTTACTGAGGGATGTCTTGGCCCTGAGGTGCTGTCTATCTGAAGAGTTGCAGAATTTGCGGAATGAACTACTGATACTTGATGTGGATCTTTTATTTGTCGAATAGCAGTACTTTGGCTAAATGCAGGAGATATGGATTGAGGTATAGAAGGAGCTGCTGATTCGTAGGAGCCTCTGGACCCATGTGAAGTGGAATCTATAGAAATATAACGGTTTACTTGATATATATATATAAAATATAAAAAACACTGACAGCTTGGAACACATCAGACGCATAAAAAAAAGAAAGAAAAGAAACAAAACAACCTGGGGAATTAACTAAGCCTCCATCATAATGGCACAGGAAAGAGTTAGGTGGCATGCTCCACATTAACCACTTGCCTTCTGGAAGATTTAACCACCTTCATGACCAGGCCATTTTTTTTGCTATTCGGCACTGCGCTAGTTCAACTGGTAAATGCACAGCCATGCAATGCTGTACCGAAACAAAATTTATGTCCTTTTTTTCCCCACACAGAGCTTTCTTTTGGTGGTATTTTATCACCACTGGATTTTTAATTTTTTGTGACATAAATGAAAAAGATTGAACATTTTGAAAAAAAAAAAAAAAAAAAAAAACCAAAACAATATTTCCTATTATACAAAATATCCAACACAAAGTTAGTCATAAATTTAGGCCAAAATGTATTCTGCTACATCTTTGGTGAAAGTTATAGCGTCTACAAACTATGAGACTTTATATAGAATATATATATATATATATATATATATATATATATATATATATATATATATATGTAAATATTTACACACATTTTTCTTTCTGACTGGCTATCACATTTCTTGAAGTGCTAAAATGCCAGGGCAGTACAAGAAACTCTAAAGTGACCCCTTTTTGGAAAGTAGATACCCCCAAAGAAGGAGAGGCATGTTGAGTCCATGGAAGATTTTTTTTTTGCCACAATTTTTTGGAGAATGGCTTTTTTTTTCCATACACAAAGTTGTCACTAAAATTATATGTGGCTCATGCATTGCCATGGCTATATGTAGCATAACACCCCAAAACACATTCTGGTACTTCTCCCGAGTATGGGGATACCACATGTGAGAGACTTTTTGGCAGCCTAGCCACATACATGCTCCCAAAATCCAATGAACACCTCCAGGCTTTCAAAAGGCATATTTCCTCATATCACTTCCTCACTACCTGTCAGTTTCAGAGGCCCTAGAATGCCAGGATAGTACAACCCCCCAAATGACCCCTTTTTGGAAAAAAGATACCCCAAGGAATTTGATAAGAGGCATGTTGACTATTTTGCAAATATAATTTTTATCACAAGGTTTTGAAAAAAGCAAAAATACATTTTCGTTTTCTTTCTTCATTTTCCAAAAACTTGTGGCAACAAGTGAGATCTGCAAAATACTCACCATGCCCTGTAGCTGCAGGCATCATCCCGGTATAGCCAAAGTGACATACCAGTACATTGCTGGCCCTTTTTGGACATATATGTAACAGCAGAGACCATGGGCATATGATAAATAGGGTCAGTGGACCAATACGACCACAATTCAGTCTTTTTTGTAATGCCCATGTTGAGAGTTAGAGCCAAAAAAAAGGTTTAAATTCAGAAACCATGATAGGTTTCCATGCGAATTGTCTGGCAACATCTGAATTTGGGTGGGTGGTGATGTAAGGCTGTGCGTACAAATTGCTTTGGTCCACAATCAATTGATACAAATCGTATCCGTGAAAAACAGCAGCAGGTGTAAACAATAGTTCTGGCAGCAAATGTGGCTGATCCTGCTAATGCTGCATTTATTGGGAACACTATACTAAGGAGGCACTAGTACAGTTCTGTTCATGATCAATATATTGATCCGTACATATACTATATATATATATATATATATATATATATATATATATATATATATATATATATATATATATATATATACATATATACACACACACACACTGACACTGTATTAATGGCACTGGCTGGGTGACCAGAGGGTTAATAGGGGCAAATCAAAGGGTTAAATGTGCTAATCTAACATGCGTGTATAAAATGTAGTGCTTTTTTTTCCCAGTGTGGCGTTCTCTCTTTTTCTCCCTGGACAGACGGGCAGTAGGGGGTGCATGCATGCATGCACACACCCGGAAATAGAAAGCGATGTCAGGGTACGTTGCTTTGCCCAGAGCCACCGCTCACCCGCACATTGTGGGGGAGGGTGGCAAGTAGTGAAAAAAAAAAAAAAAAAAAACAAAAAAGCCTTAAAAAAAATTCTCAATACAGTATTTTATTTTGTAAACATTTTTTTTTCTAAGTACTTTCATCAAAGTAGTACATTAGCATAGTAATGTGCAGCCCCAAATTCATGCACACTGTGCATAATTTGAACAAGTAGTAAAAGCATTTTAAAATAGGACCCTCCCTACCCAAAACTATAAAAAAAACAAAAAAAAACAAAAAACACTTTGGATACTCTGAACCTCCACACCCCCCCCCCCCTTTCCCACTTCTGCAATCATAAAAGTAACTTCTTTTTTTTTTTGTTACTTCTGACCCTGAACCATGCATCACTTGATACTGAACCCTTGCACTGTGCATCCTTTAAGCCACACCCAATAGTCAGCACACTGAAAGCCACATCCAACTTTTTCCGCACACCACACTTTCTTGTCCTCTAAAACCAGGGCCCAACTTGTGGTCGTGCACACAGGACCACTGTTTTCATAAATGCCCATGTTCATGATTCCAGTACTCTGTACGTTATTTTTGCTCCTAAATTTTGCACTTAGTAATTCATCCAATCCAGATTTCTGCACGCTGTATGTAGGTACACTGCTCAAAAAAAGGAACACTTTTTAATCAGAATATATTATCAAGTCAATTAAACTCCTGGGATAATGATCTGGCCAGTTAACTAGCAGAGGGGGTTGTTAATCAGTTTCAGCTGCTTTGGTGTTAATGAAATTAACAACAGGTGCATTAGATGGGCAACAATGAGACGACCCCCAAAACGGGAATGGTTTTACAGGTGGAGGCCACTGACATTTTTTTCCCTACTCATCATTTCTGACTGTTTTTCACTAGTTTTGCATTTGGCTAAAGTCAGTGTCACTACTGGTGGCATGAGGGGATACCTGGACCCTACAGAGGTTGCACAGGCAGTCCAACTCCTCCAGGATGACACATCAATAAGTGCCATTGTCAGAAGGTTTGCTGTGTCTCCCAGCACAGTCTCAAGAGCATGGAGGAGATTTCGGGAGACAGGGAGTTTCCCTAGGAGAACTGGACAGGACCATAGAAAGTCCTTAACCCATCAGCAGGACCGGTATCTGCTCTTTTGTGCAAGGAGGAACAGGATGAGCACTACCAGAGCCCTACAAAATTACCTCCAGCAGGCCAGTGGTGGGAATGCCTCTGACCAATCAGAAACAGACTTCATGAGGGTGGCCTGACGTCCTCTAGCGGATCCTGTGCTCACTGCCCGGCACCATAGACTTCGATTGGCATTTGCCATTGAACACCAGAATTGGCAGGTCCACCACTGGCGCCCTGTGCTTTTCACAGATGAGAGCAGGTTCACCCTGAGCACGTGACAGACGTGAAAGGGTCTGGAGAAGCCGTGGAGAAAGTTATGCTGCCTGTAACATCGTTCAGCATGACTGTTTTGGTGGTGGGTCAGTGATGGTTTGGGGTGGCATATTCATGGAGGGACGCACAGACTTCTATTCTACAGGCTAGACAATGGCACCCTGACGGCCATTACGTATCGGGATGAAATTCTTGGACCCATTGTCAGACTCTACGCTAGCGCAGTGGGTCCTGGGTTCCTCCTGGTGCACAACAATGCCCGGCCTCATGTGGCGAGAGTATGCAGGCAATTCCTGGAGGATGAATGAATTGATACCACTGAATGGCCCCCATGCTCGCCTGACCTGAATCCAATAGAATATGGGATATCATGTTTTGGTCCATCCAACACCGCCAAATTGCACCTCAGACTGTCCAGGAGCTCACTGATGCCCTGGTCCAGATCTCCGTCGTCTCAGGATCATGCCCTGTTGTGGTCAGGCACACATACAAGCACGCAGGGGCCATACAAACTACTGAGTACCATTTTGAGTTGCTGCAATGAAATTTCAGCTGCTGCATCATTTTTTTCACTTTGATTTTTGGGGTGTCTTTGAATTCAGTCCTCTGTAGGTTGATCATTTTCATCAAACGATGGGGCATCCTTACATTACTAACACATTACCCAGTCCATATCAGTATAGATATCTAGCATGATCCCCACTGAGATCTGATGTGTTTTCAAAGTGTTCCATTAATTTTTATGAGCAGTGTTAATTGATCAGGTGTGGTTATCAGGAGTGGGTAAGATGATTGGTCAGGTGTCAAACAGGGTGGGGGGGGGGGGGGGCGCAGTTTGGCATGTTCGCCCGGGACGCTGGATGACCTGTTCCCAGAACTGGTTCTAACTGTATTGGCGCAAGCACTTTAGTGAACATCCAAAGTGCAGATGAGAGGCTGAAGGGCAGGGACACAAACTGGTAGTGTAGGGGCCTCACAGTAAAGTGCAGGTAATACAGACGAGTCGTAAAAATTGGGACATGTAGGTATGTGTACCTTTATGTCCCCAGTAGCCAGAAAGTCTTCCTGGTGAAAAGGGGACATAACAGACCTTGTGGGTTCCATGCGGAATTTCTGAGTTAAAAAAATGACAGCGCTTTGATATCCAAGACAGAGCAGGTGTCCCTTTTGCGTTGGGGAATGACGGACAGGTTGAAGTAAATTTTTAAGACTGTCTTGCGAGGAACTGTGGCAATGACACCTTGATTCAGAACATCAGAGAGACTGTGTTTTAATGTATCATAATACCTTATCGTTGTATTATTTTGTTGGAAAAATCGATACAAAATGATTGAAATATAAAGCCAGAGAGATCTTAACAGAGAGCTGCTAATTTGTGTGGTGACATAAATTAGAGGGGATAACCTAAAGAGAAAACAAAGCAAAGATCCAGCTTGTAGTCCTGGGATACCACCTCCTGCACAAGAGTCTGAAATTTAGGCTATTCAAGTGTTTGCAAAAGTAACAAATGCCCTGTTATTCTGGAAAGCTCCATTCACACTGAGCTGAACGCTTTTCAGGCATTTTTCAACCGTTTTTTTTTTTTCAGGTGTCTGAGCGTTTTTTAAGCAGATTTGCAAATATTATAGGCATTTTTTCAGGCGTTTTTTCATTTAGGCACTTTTGCTGTGGCCAATAGAAGTAACTGCTGTTTGAGCTGAAAACGCCTGCAAAAGCATTTGAAAAGACGCTTGAAATAAATACTCCCACTGTTCAGGTGTTTTCCATTCAAGTCTATGGGAACAAAACGCCCAAATCTGCTTGAAAAGTACTTTTTCGTATGACGGGCGTTTTGCTATAAGTGACAACAACACACACATGTGAACAAGGACCATAGAAATGAATTGGATTTTGATTGTTGAGCATCTGGTGTCAAGCTGAAAAAAGGCCTAGTGTGAATGGAGCCTAAAGTGTGGGCACTTTATGCAGCGGGAAGCCTTTCAGACCATGCAGATGGGCTGGGAGTCAGGCATGTGGGGTGAGGAACAATAGGGACATTTCTTCATTGCTTGCAAACTGGGAATTTAAGCACATTCCTGACTGCTATACCAGCTGGGACTGTGTTTAAGTTGAACGTGGTCTGGACAACTGTAAAGCGGCCTGATAAATTCCACAGCATGCTGATAGTACTGTCTCTTCCACCCAAAGTTCGCAGCTATAGTCACTTGCTCTATTGCTTTCTATAGTCAAGGAATCAAGTACAGCAGTAGCAAGTTTCTGGCTGGAAACGAGGAGTTTAAAGACGTCCAGTAACCCAAGTATGTGAGGTAGTCCCCAATTCTTTGTCTGACTTGCTCCCAAAGTAAGTCTTCAGAGAAAAGGCAAATGCTGAGGCAATGAGAGTATTTCTGGAATGTGCTCCTTGGCTTTTACCAAAGCAAAAACTTCTTCACCACATATATACCTCTTTTATAGCAAATCTATTTTTACTTGGGTATGAACTTTCATTATATAACTGAAAGGGGGGGAGGGAGACCTCCAACCCCATGTCCTTGACCATTCCCTAAATGGCAAGGCTAGCACATGTCTAAGGGCTGCTGAGATAGTAGGGGATGTAAACATGCTTGGTCACTGGATAAGTCCTGTTGCTTTTAATCTGAGGTTTGTGTTGCTTTCTGGAGCTGGCCGGGGACAGTATTTAAAGAATTCATTACACCGCACAAGTCATCTAATAAACCAGTATTACATTTTTAGCAAAGGATTCTCACCTTCTTTGTGGTTTGGTGGGGTTGGTGGTTTTGGAGGTGTTTGGGGTCTTACTTCCTGCTCAGTGTTATTGGACACTGGGGAATCAGTATTTTTTTGGACAGATGGCTCATCCCCAAGATTAGTCTTCATGACTGGAGACCGTGTCCTGTGCTCTGTTTCAGGAGGCGTGGCCACTAAGACAACACAGACAACAAAATGTACACATTTAATATGAAATTCCTTCTTATATCATAAGTGAAAATATTCATAGTGACCAACTATACTTTGCCTGTCTTCAAGGCTGTCCTTTCTGCCTGTCTCATTTGATACTACTCTGGCCAGGCCTGAGTCTGCCTCATTGCCCTCCTCTGAAATGCTGCCATCAGAACCAGAATGCACCTCCCCTTCCACAGAGGGACGGAAGTCCAGCTCTTGCTCCTCAGGAATTGGCTCCTTCTGCACCTTCTGAAAAATATTAAATTGTAAGATTTGAAGGGATAATATATTGCACAAACACAGAAGTCAATGTTTTTTCTTTCATTAATTTTCAAGCATAACAAAAAGCATTTAAAACAATATAACCATTTAGGGAATGAGAGCCTTACAGTATTTTGATCATGATACTAAACCTTGGAAGGTAGGAATGCCCCTGAGGAGTCAAAGGTGCCAGTCTCATCTTCAGCATCTTCCAGGCACCATTCTGGCAAGCTGTCCCTTTCATCTTCTGCACTTCCTGAGCCACTACGGGTCCTTCGGTAACCACGTTCATCATCTCGTTCTCGAAAGTCAAACTCAAACCGCCTACGTCGATCTGGATGTTCTCTCCAACCAGGACCCCGAGCTCCATCTTTGTGAAAAACAAGGTAAAGTATTAACTGTATACAGTTGATCAAAAGATCTCCACCTGCTCTTTTCAAATAGCACAAAAATCCCTTTAAAAGGACAGTTATCAGTGGAATGCTTAAAGTAAACTTCTATGGTGCCTCTATGTAAAAAAACAAGTTTGCTTGCTTCATAGGAGGCTGTACCCTTCCTCTCCTATGCTCTCCCACTGTCCAATCTGAGCCAGAGCCCCCAAGAAATAACTGATAGTTTTGTGTATGGAAGGGCATGATATGAGATGGGCATGATACTCCCAGTCTCCCCACAATGTAGCACAGGGGTGCTGAGCAGCCTATTAAAGGAAAGTTCACCTTCTGGATCATCGTACCTTTAGTCTATAATGCTTGTTATTTTCACATTGGACAATCATCATTAGGACTGCCCCTCTATATATGTACACATTCATGTCCTCCGTCACAGCTAATGCTTGAGAAGGGAGCGCGGCTTTGCCTTTCAGCAGTCTCGCACATGCTCCAAAACGCATAGCATTGCATGCTGGACATCCTTACGTCATCACGCTGACGCCAACGTTGCGCTCCAGGTGGACTACGGGTGCTATCTTTGCATCTCACACATGCCGGCCGGCTCCCGGTGAACATCCCGAGTCTCCTCTAGCGCTGACAACAGCGTATACATTGAGGACGCCGCCATGTCCTTCGCTTTCACTACATATGCCTAAGCCTTCGTTTTCTTTCATCATATGAGTGTTTCTCATTATGTTCTTCAATAAATGTACAACATATTGCACTTAGAGGTACTTTTATCCTTTTTATATCTTCACCCAGAGCCTACTACAGCTACATGAGCTTGCCCTAGTTCTATATGGACCTACTGCACATGTCAATTGGACTTTAATATCTATTTTGTTTAGTGCCCATTATCATGAAGGATTGAGGAATTTGTGTGCGCTGATTTTTTGTTTATTTATTACTCCCTGTCTCCTTGGTACCCTGCTTACTCTAAACTATTGCTCAGCAGTTTGCACTATTTTGGACCAGGGTCACTATATTTATTAGCTTATGCTCTGCCGCAGTAATTCACTTTTTACATCCCTTTATCCAACTGTGACAGATTGAAACTTTTTTTTTTTTTCTTTAATAGGTCATCCTATTTCTGTCTGGAGAAGCAAATATGGTACTAATCTTAGAATGTGCACTTGAGGGTTAGGACTGATGTGAATGTACAATATGTATGTAAAGCGCTGCGTAAATTGACAGCACTATAGAAGTACCTGAAATAAATAAAGATGTTCCTTGGGCTTCTCACACTCGATTGCACTTACTAGCTAAGCATCGAATGTTGCAAATCAATGTATTCAAACATGAGCTAAAATCACCACAATGTTAATAAACTAAAGCATATACATGACATAAATAGTCACAACAGGAAATAAATGACACATAAAAGGCTCAGCGTTCATGTACTGATAGGTTACTTGGGCACCAAACATTGCAGGGGTGAAGAAAGGTGTACATGCTCGCACCATACTTGGAAGTACATTCAATGGGGTAGTTGTAATGCATCAGAAAGGCAGGCAGGCACACCACCAATTGTAAGATGTGGTACTGAAGGATACTTACTTTGACAGATATTTTTTTTATATTGATATTCAGGTGCATCTCAATAAATTAGAATATCATCAAAAGGTTTATTTCAGTAATTCAATTCAAAAAGTGAAACTCATACTATATAGATTCATTACACACAGATAGATATATTTCAAGCATGTTTTTCTTTTAATTATGATTATGGCTTACAGCTAGTGAAACCCTAAAAATTCAGTACCCCAGAAAATTAGAATATTGTAAAAAAAGTTCGATATTGTAGATTCATGGTGTCACACTCTAATCAGCAAATTAGCTCAAAACTCCTGTAAAGGTTTCCTGAGCCTTTCAATGGTCTCTCAGTCTGGTTCAGTAGGTTACACCAGTCTTTCTCAACCGGGGTGCCTTGGTAAAATGCCCAAAAACTGTATACAAGCCAGCAGGTGGCTCAATCCTCAATCCTGCCTTCTAGTACACAAAGCCACAGGTTTTCATTGTGCACTTTTAATACCTTCTAGCTGCCAGCGTCCTAACAACCAATTAAATCAGTTGATAAGGATGTCAGGTGCATGGGCGTCATCCTTGTTTGGCCCTCCCCTGTCCCTCTCCATCTGCACTGGGGTCACATTAGCGGAGTGAGGGAGAGAAAATGAGAGACACACTGGAACACTAGTCAGTACCAGTGTGCAAAGGTGTATTTGCTTTGGAAGAATAAATCGCCTCTAACGTTGGGTGTACTGAATGTGTGTAGAACAGTTTTTCACATTTTAGATTGGGGTGCCTTGAAATTATCCATACTTTTAAAGGGCGCCTTGACTGAAAAAAGGTTGGAGAAACACTGGGTTACACAATCATGGGGAAGACTGCTGACTTGACAGTTGTCCAGCATACAGTCATATGAGTCACAAAAGGTCATTGCTAAAGAAGCTGGCTGTTCACAGAGTGCTGTATCCAAGCATATTAATGGAAAAAGTTGAGTGGAAGAAAAAGTGTGGTAGAAAAAGGTGCACAAGCAACAGGGTAAACAGCAAAAGGCCATTCAAGAATTTGGGGGAGATTCACAAGGAGTGGACTACGGCTTCAAGAGCTACCACACACAGGACGTATCCAGGACATGGGCGTCAACTGTCGCATTCCTTGTGTCAAGCCACTCGTGAACCAGAGACAACATCAGAAGGGTCGTACCTGGGTTAAGGAGGAAAAAAAAAAAAAGACTGGACTGTTGCTCAGAGGTCCAAAGTAAAATTTTGCATTTAATTTGGAAATCAAGGTCCCACAGTCTGGAGGAAGAGTGGAGAGGCACAGAATCCAAATTGCATGACGTCCAGTGCCAAGTTTCCACTGTCAGTGATGATTTGGAGAGCTGTCATGACATCTGCTGGTGTTGGTGCATTGTGTTTTATCAAGTCCAAAGTCAGCGCAGACCTCTACCAGAAAATTCTAGAGCACATCATGCTTCCCTCTGACGAACAGCTTTTTGGAGATGCCGATTTCATTTTCCAGCAGGACTTGGCACCTGCCCACACTGCCAAAACTACCAATACCTGGTTTAATGATCATGTTATCACTGTGCTTGATTGGCCATTAAACTCGCCTGACCTAAACCACAAAGAATCTGTGGGGTATTGTCAAGAGGAAGATGAGAGACACCAGACCCAACAATGCAGACGAGCTGAAGGCCACTATCACAGCAACCTAGGCTTTTAGAACACTTTAGCAGTGCTACAGGCTGATTGCCTCCATGCCACGCCGTATTGATGCAATAATTCATGCAAAAAGAGCCCCAACTAAGTATTGCGTGCTTACTATACTGTACATGGACATACTTTTCAGTAAGCCAACATTTTTGTGTGTTAAAAATCCTTTTTTTTAATTGGTCTTATGTAATATTCTAATTTTCTGAGATACTGGATTTTGGGTTTTCACGAGCTGTAAGCCATAATCATCAAAATTAAAAGAAAGAAATGCTTAAAATATATCACTGTGTGCATACTGTATCTACATAATATATGAGTTTCATTTTATTAAATTACTGAAATAAAATTACCTTTTTGATGATAGTCTAATTTATTGAGATGCACACACACATACACACACACACACACATTTTATGCTATTATATACAGTGAATATAAAAAGTCTACACACCCCTGTTAAAATGGCAGGTTTCTGTGATGTAAAAAAATGAGACAAAGATAAATCATTTCAGAACCTTTTTTTGCACCTTTAATGTGACCTATAAACTGTACAACTCAAATGAAAAACAAACTGAAATCTTTTTGGGCGGGGGGGGGTGGAGTAAACATAAAAAAACTAAAATAATGTGGTTGCATAAGTGTGCACACCCTCTTATAACTGGGGATGTAGTGGTGTTCAGAATTAAGCAATCACATTCAAAATCATGTTAAATAGAAGTCAGTACACACCTGCCATCCTTTAAAGTGCCTCTGATTAACCCCAAATAAAGTTCAGCTGTTCTAGTAGGTCTTTCCTGACATTTTCTTAGTCGCATCCTACAGCAAAAGCCATGGTCCACAGAGAGCTTCCAAAGCATCAGAGGGATCTCATTGTTAAAAGGTATCAGTCAGGAGAATAGTACAAAAGAATTTCCAAGGCATTAGATATTCCATGGAACACAGTGAAGACAGTCATCATCAGTGGAGAAAATATGGCACAACAGTGACATTACCAAGAACTGGACCCACCTCCAAAATTGATGAAAACAATGAGAAAAAAAACTGGTCTGAGAGGCTGCCAAGAGTCCTATAACAACATTAAAGCAGCTGCAAGAATATCTGGCAAGTACTGGCTGTGTGGTACATGTGACAACAATCTCCTTCTTCTTATGTCTTGAATATGGTGTAGAGTGGCAAGACAGAAGCCTTTTCTTATGAAGAAAAACATCCAAGCTCTGCTAAATTTTGCAAAAAACACATCTGCAAAAACACATCTCCCAAAAGCATGTGGCAAAATGTGTTATGGTTTGATGAAACCAAGGTTGAACTTTTTGGCCATAATTCCAAAAGATATGGAAAAACAACACTGCACATCACCAAAAGAACACCATACACACAGTGAAGCATGGTGGTGGCAGCATCATGCTGTGGGGCTGTTTTTCTTCAGCTGGAACTGGGGCCTTAGTCAAGGTAGTGGGAATTATGAACAGTTCCAAATACCAGTCAATATTGGCACAAAACCTTCAGGCTTCTGCTAGAAAGCTGAACATGAAGAGGAACTTCATCTTTCAGCATGACAACGACCCAAAGCATACATCCAAATCAACAAAGGAATGGCTTCCCCAGAAGAAAATCTGTGGGGTGATCTGAAGAGGGCTGTGCACAGGAGAAGCAAACTGACAGATTTTGGAGTGTTTTTGCAAGGAAAGAGTGGGCATATATTGCCAAGTCAAAATGTGCCATGCT